ACCAGCTAAGCTATAGCCCAGCTATAGGGGAAACAGACGTATAGCACGGAATATGTTTACTCAGTAGGGTTATTGTGAGCAAAGCGTACACACAGGGTGCTTAATCATGAGCAACATAGCGGATTAGGTTAAACAAACAGAGGCCACTGTTTATATATATATATATGAAGAATGCAGTTTTATTCTTAATGTCGGCTGCCATTTAGCATCTTGAATACGTGTCGATGCCCCCCCCCCATCTCTTAATTTTGAGCTGTCCGTTAAATGTATGGGAGTCAACTATATCTGTATCGTCTAGTGTTTAAAAGGGAATTAGAACTTTGGGATTATGAAACTCATAGGTTATCTGTTGCTTCTGTAAAGCTCGATTTTGTTGTTCAAATAAATCAAAAGAGGTACACTTGTGGCCCTTTCAAATTGTAATGCTGAGATATATCACAAGACTTCACAAGTTTGGATGGACGTAGCAAAATTAGTACTCTAAAGTATCTTGTATTTAATTGCCTCGAAAATTACTTATATTTGCCTTTTTTGAAATGTAAAAGCAGTGAAATAAGCATTTTTGATAGAGTGGATTGCAAATTTCTGATGATTAAATATACTCGACAGGGATTGTTTGCATTTTTTAAAGGTTATCTGAATGCTTCAAAAGTAACATTTATATTCAGAATCGATTTGGTCTTTCGTCAATAATATACTGGAATGCATAGAATGTTCACTATTTTTGTGTGAACTCGTCTATTAAGTTTATTTCGCTTATGGTAGAGAATATCCCCTCCTTCAGATGCTTTATGTCTCGACCAATCTAGGAGAGTTAACTCAAGTCGCTAAAGTTGTCTTTTAGGCCTTTCTTGTAATTAGCAAATATATATTCAATTATATTTCGATGTGGTAACCACCCGAACAGAATGTACAATCTTCCCAGATTTTGCACTGGTTTATCGATTACTGGGAATGGACTCCCCAGTTGCCGTAACTGTTAGCCAACAAAGTAGTAGCCCCTGCACATTCCAATCTCTCTTTATTATCTCTGACCCCCCGACCGACAAATACCAACGAACTACGATTATTGTGCAAAATCAAATCCTCATATATTCATTAAATGACTAGTATTGAAGGAAATGTTTTTCCAACTTAGTAAAGGACATTTTATAAATAGGGCACTGTAGAATAGATGAGTTTAGAGAATACACAAGAGTAAGAAAGATCTAAATGAGGGCCTAAAGTCTAAAGTTTTATTAAGGAGAAGTAGCAACCATCAATGGTAATAACCACTACCTTCTCTCAAAGCATGAGGTAAAGACTGAGTATATCCCACTTTCTTGCTAACGGCCACTGTTCTCCCGTGTGGCTGATTATCAAACTTGATCTGTTTGAAGGATGAGCTCCTATGTGCTTCTAGAATTTTTATCTTGGTCATTACTAATCCACGAAATCTGGTTACTTCGATCACACAGTGGTTCTCGGTCTTGTAACGACTTCAGGTTCCGAGTAAAGTCGTCGAATATCCTCAAGTAGTTTATTTTAATTAGTGGTGGAACAATTCTGCAGACGATATCCAAATGAAACTCTTGTAAGTAAGACCCCTCCAGAAGGTGTGAGCTTGTGGCCGTTGGCGTAGCACGTAGACATGTTGGTGCATGCATTGACTCGCAACCAATCAGTGTTCACTTTTCTGTAGTGGAACATAACTTTGATTGCATTCCTACAAATTGGCGATTCAACAAACCGGTGACCCTCGATTCAATTACAAACTGGTGAACCTATGGACACTCATCAATTCCTATCAAAAGATGCTTCAACAGCCACATCTACAATTTTTTCCCCATTTCAAAGGGCTTATTGGCTTTCAATCAAAGCGATGCCAAATCTTCGATAATTACGAGCTGGATAGCATAAAGAATTATTAAAAATATTTAAGGTAAGAAAATTTTACTATCGTATCTTAAAGAGAAACCCCTCGGTAGTTAGGCCGATTGCAAATACTGGGCGCCTAGGCATCTACTCAACATTGGAGCATTACGACAATATTCTGCTCACAAGCTAGTATATTACGATATCTTCCATTACTTGTGCAAATACTTCAGATAATGCCAATTGTAATTCGACCGTTGATAAATTTAGAGTCTGAGGAAGTTTTTTTCTCCCAGTCTGTAAATCAAATAGGTAACAAATTGAAATATAAATAGGACTGCTTTATTAGATTAAGTAGGTATCAATAATGGTAACTTGTAAGCATTTGATGCGAGGACAAGAAAAGTCTGATGCATTTTTTTTAAAAAGCATCGAAATATATCAGGTCAGGTCATTTAAACTGCAGGAGATAACGGAGTTTCGAGAGAGCAAGCAGACTTCCTGAGAAGTGAATTTGTGACGTTTTAATGGCCTCCAGAAGATCAAATCGACCCTCCAATGTCTCTGCAAGATGTGCCGCCCTAATGTGCACCACGCATGAAGGGGTCTTAGTTTTCAGTGTTCCAACTTCTCCCTTTCCTAAAAGAATAAAGCATTGGTTACGCAATATAAATTCTAACATGAGTCAGTGAAGACGCCAACATAAGAACTCTCTTTTCCAACTAAAAGACATAGAATGCAACAAGCGTTTAACCACTGATCCGCCAAGCTCGAATAAATTGGGTTGAAAAGGCATATCGCGAAGGAAATAAAACTGGAACGTGAAGAGGGGGACAAGTGATTCGGGACAAGACTATCAAGTATTTTACTACAAGTATCATTTCGGAGTTTCTCCGTTTATCCTAACTACGGTCTACAAAAGCCTTTAAGTAGGCCAATTTTAATCACCTGGATGGCAAGTGCATGGCTTTGGTTGCCAATATAAATTAAATATTCTCTAAGACATTAAAATCCCTCCCTTACAACAAGGTCTAGACTGCATATTTTCAATACAGGGGGCTGTTTAATGAACCTTAGAATTTGTTTGCTTACTCTACTTTTATTATATTAATTACTAATAAATAGCGTCTCTTAATCGTTCGCATAAAAATATACGCATATACGTAACCGTGAGGGAACTGAGAATTGTCACGGCGGTGACAGTGGGATGAAAAAAACAGACTCACTGTGAAGCTTGAAGTCAACTAAAGGGCTAATGATAACCGTCAAAACGCCTGCCATTTGATATAAATAAATAAAAATAAAATTCAATCCCAAGGTTCGATTTAATTAGCTTTTGATAAAGTCATAGTTTTAAAAGTATATTTCGGAGCTAAATAAATTGTTCAATCAGAATATTGACAATAATTTTAGCAAAAGTGCTTCTAAATTGACGAAATTACATTGAGAAACATTTTCCCCTATCTTATCTGTAATTCTAAAAGAGTTTTACTCTCCATATTCACCGTAAAGTAGAGTTTCATTTCAACACCTCTACCATGTCAGAAAATATTGAACCTGATGTCCTGCCTTCAAGTGGAACCTAAAGAAGAGAAATTGAGAGGGAAAGAAAGTGAACGCTATCTAATGCACAAAACCTTAGCAATAACGAATAGTACAAGAGCGAAAATGAAGGATAAAAGCCTGCTATTAAATTAATATAAACCAGTGCTAATTTCGATAATAATTTCTGTATCCCACTTAATGATCCTTTGTTTCCTGTTCCATCCGTGACTCTTCATTATATTCCAGCCTGAGTACGTATCACTAGGTAGGTCAATTGGAAATCAACTAATATAGCCAACACTAATATTAAATCTTTTAATATGATAATGCTGACCCGTGTCTGCATCCAAATAGAAAGCAGCTATACACTCGTTCTCTTGGCGGATGTCAGCGAAGTAGACGAATACTTGAAGACTCAACGAACCGAGTGCTGATCTAGCTTTTTCATTGTTCAAGAAAATTTGACTTCTTGCAAGTGCGCGCTCAACCAATTGGTCGACTTCCATCTTATTAACCTCTACTGTCATTGCCTCGCTGTCTGGAGTTGGAAAAGGGTCAAGAGGAGAAGTGGTTGAGGTTGATTGTGATTTTATCAAAGCTATTTGATTAATTAAGGAAGTGAACTGGGCGGATACTTGTTGTGTGGCGGTTACTGAGACATCGCTTACTCCACCCAGAAAAAAAGGGGAGAGACTTGCAATTTGTCTTCCCACCTTCTGGAAATCGATACTACGAACTTGATTAGCGAGTTTCGGAGGATCTTTAATAGACCTTGCTGAAGTTCTAAATTTAATAGAGAAATAATTTAAGTGGGAGAAATTTAATAGAATTAGTGATTATACTTTTTAATTAAGTTCAACTTACAATTTCACTTCCAAAATCTGTATTCCAACGGGGGAGCAATATGCATTTAATGAAGCCTAGGAGGTAAAACAGAACTGTTACCTATCATCGGTGGAAGGATCAAACCAGGTTTAAAATTGTTGAAACTTTTACAATTTAAAAAAAACAAACTTAAGATAGCAACGAAAAGAAATCAAGTCGGCTTCTCCATACTATGGTTCCTGAAAGGAAGCTTTGGCCTAACGATTTTTAGATAAACTAAGCTTAAGGACTACCAATTAGCTGTTGAATATACGAAGTAATCTTTTCCGATAAGAGCGTAGAGAAAGCCAATTTCATTTCGAGGAAAACAATCGCGATTTTGAAAGTTTTATTAAATGAAAGCCTTCTATACTGTTGTAAACTAAGATGTTCAGTTTCCACCGCCACAACTTACCTACCTCCCATTAGTTCACTCAGATCCAGAGATCATATGGTGTGTAACTAATCCTAGATGAACTCAATCGTCAATTAAAATGACTGAAGTATCTAACTCTGCGTCTATGGGTTAGGGATTTATCTGTTTCCTATCATTATTAAGTTAATTAATTCCAACGACTCAATAGTAGATCCAAAGTTAAAGGAAAAGAATGTCGATTGGTTATTGAGGTTCCACATCCTCACCTATTGATTTGTAAAAGAGGCGAATTTCCATTATAATTAACGTGGTATGGAGTCACACCAGTATTCACCAGTTTTAAGTGAAAGTGACAAATTAGCAGCTGACGAATGAGGGGGTCAACATCAGATTGTCAAATGGGATAAGACATGAAGATACCTACAGCTTTACCTTGCCAAGGTTTGTATAAATTGTGAAATGACTCGAATGGCTGAAAATATTTTAACTAGTCACCATGAGGACCTTAAATCCGATATGATTATGCCGAGCTCAAACCGGTGTCAATATATCGTGTCCAAGTTGACAGAACAATAAGACGTCAGCTTAACAGAGCCTTGATTTAACATCTTTCTATTCAATTTATTATTTATGCACATTTTTTCTATCCCAAAGGCGCTCATTATCACAGAAATTATGGAGATGAACAACGGCGGTTTTGGTGAAAGCAAGAATAATGATAATGTACGTTCAAAATTTAGCCCATCCATATGAAACCAAGAGTAGCTATTCAAGCTCTCATATATTCGAGCGATAACTGTCAAAGGAAATGTATCACGATAGAAAATAGAAGATACTAAAATAATTAAAATCTATAAATGACAGTAAAACCCGACAACCGAAATCAGTTTTCTTTACTATCTCTATGAAGACTGTTTAAACTTTTTCCCAATTCTTTGTGCAAAATGAAACACGTAATGACTATTTTTTGCCTTTCCTCCCAAATATTAATTTCATTCATTTTATTTATAAAATAATAAATGGATTATTTTCATATAAATGTGAATGAGACGAAAATATACCGTGGATCAAGCGAAATAATCAATTACACAATTTTTAATGTATATAGATGAGCTGTTTCCTATATTAATTAAGAAAAATAAAATATGATACTGTCAGGCAAAAAATGGCACAATTTTAACAGCGTGCAGAAATATATACAGGCCAAGGACATTTCTTCAACCTTTAAAATTTGATGCTACGTTGCACTAACCCTAACATCACTGGCAATGTCGGCGGAGCCGTGACCGGAGATGATGTCATCCCATTGGATTCTGGCCACCGCTGAAACGAGTGCTGTCTCAGCTCTTTTCGAGATGAGATTATGTGGATCGCGTGACCAGTATGTCACCGCTGCTTCGGGCTCCACAATGTGAAACACCACCTGGCAACCTACCTCCACCTCCCCGGTGTCAGATGTTGTCGCCTTTAAAACAAATGGGAAATAAAAAGCCGAAACAATAATATTAAACCCGTTTTATTTTTACACAGCAAATTAAAAATGACATTTCTAATCACAAGAAATGACTAAACGTAAGGAAGAGTTAAAGATCCTAAAGCAACTCTAACCTCAACGGTGACTCTGCTTAAAAAGTCCGAAATAAAGCTAAAGACTTCTTAAAGGTTAGGTAAATATCACAACCTTCCCCCAAAACGAGGAGGCCAAGAGAGTTCAATTGGTCAAATTTGTGTTGACAAACGCAGTGGACTGAGAGGAAGGAAGATGCAGGGGAAAGAGAGGGAGTTCTTGGGGAGGGGGAATAAAACGTCATTACTGATCGAGTGGAAACCAGATTGTGGCAGAGTCAACAGAAGTGAAATAATGAAGCTGATAGATCTTGTCTCCTCCGTTGGTTTATGATAATGAGTAACAAAATTCGCGGTTCTGAGACTCGAAGTAAACAATACGAGTCCCATCGATATTCGAATGATTTCTCAATTAATTCAATGTTTCCATTTAATAAAACGATATAGTTCACCTCATAATAGCTAAACACTCCAAAGTTCAAACCAGACATGAGAGTTGAAACTCATATGGGAGGGGAGCAATTTCCACCTTTGGCTGAACTCTACTAGACTATGGTGTTAGAATAAAGTAACATATTATTATTTGGATATCTTGACCATGGAGAGAAAATGCCTCACCGACTCATATCAATGCTTAACATTTGATCAGTTCGGGTGCTCGATTTCTCCACTCCACCTTAAACGCCTATTTTTCGCTTCTTCCAGTATTTTCCTTCTAAGCTAATTTCTAAACGAACTTAATTAATTTCGAAAAAAAGTTGAGAATTTTTATTATTCCTACCTAATTTCCGTATTAATACAATTATTGTGATTCCCAATATGTTTATATTGGCTAAAGTGAACCTAAATATTCCTTTAAATTTTACTCAAATACGGAAAGAAAGGTCCGTGTATAATTTAAAGAATCAGAAAGTATGCTATGTTTTGGGAGTACGTAAAAAAAGTTATTTCAAAGACAGCTCCAAACCTTGTTTAAATTGAAATTGAGTTATCAAATGAGGAGAATCTTTTCTCAAATGAGAAAGAAATTTATACTTACTGCTAGAGGTTTGACTGCGAGTGATTGCTCAGTAATATCAACAATATGGCATTCATCCACAAAAGGTAGTGTCAATGTACAACCTAGGGAGATCGAAAAAGCATTGATAGATCAAAGAAGTTGCTAAAGGTGGCAGAGAAGGGGATTGCCACTGTATAGATTGGTAAATTGAGTAGTATACATTCTTCACCAGCAATAAAATTTGACTAGTGTAAAGTATTAAATATAACTAATTCCCAATCATCAAATAGACCTTAGTTATACTATATACTATATACATAATACTATATTGTATTATACTTGTACTATTTTAAAATAGCTCTTGCTCTGCAATAAACCCACATACCATGAATATTTAGACCAGAAATAAAATATCATACATACCCGGACCTCGAGGCTTCAGTAGCTTCCCCAATCTGAATATGATTAGCTTTTTCGTTTTTGTCAGTCTCTAAGTAATTAAAAAGGGATACGTTTGAAAGATTCAAGATTGAATAACCAAAGGCGTTACTTATAAAAGATAAGTAGTTTGTACCTTTACACAGAACAAAGCGGAAATTGGAAATGTGACAAGAAGAAACAGAGCAGAAAGTAATACCAAAAAAATGTAGGGACCGCCGTGGAATAATGGCATTGGTTCTCCCTCATGAAAATCTGAAAAGTTTGGATCTACATCGTTAAAGAAAGGATTTTCTCAGTCAGCCAAATGCAAATATGGTGTAAATTATAAATATGCATATAATTACCATCATGGAATATACTTTCGTAAGAAAAGATAGACTGAAAGTGAATAGGAATTTCTTCGTCATTATCATCATCATTAACACTTTTTTCGTCCTTTTTCTTAACCTTCGGTGTCTTCTGGACATCAAATGAAGAATCTGGAGAAAATTCAAAGGCAGAACAGAATTCAAACGCTGAAGAAGGCTTAGGACTGGTCACATAAGTGTGCTGATTATTTTCACCTAGAGATTCTGATCCTGCCACCTCGTAACTAAAAGTAAAGGGCTCCACTGTGAGCGGTGTCAACCCATTCACAACGCCTGCATTCTCATTCTTTGATTTTGCGCGACGAATTCCGAATTTAAATTTGCGATATCCGACTAGATCTTCCATTCCTTTATTTGTCTATATAAAATAAAAAAGGAGGCAATGTAAAAATATACAAATAATCAATAACAAAATAAAAAATTGTTATAACTAAAATGTTAATTTATGTCCATGAAATAAGCATATGTAGCCCACATAAACGAAAGGGAGGGCCCATGACCAGGCCAAAGCTAAAGAAGAATCGGAATCAGTGGGTTCTGATAACTAAAGGGCGACTTCTTATGAAGGATTCAAATACTGCATTTGAACAATGTCTCATATTTTTTCAGATGTTAATTTTAGTAATCATGCGACTTAAATTCACTTAAATTTGAATATTATAGCTTTCCTCTTTTATATATTTTTGGGATTTGTTCTTAATTAACTGTTATTTAAAATTGTAAAACAGGGCCATCAATCAGGTTACTATATCTCATTATGATATGCAAGTGAAACTATATTTGGTCCAATATAGCAATTTTAACTAACGGATACATGCAATTTTAACGGATAGTTAGAAGCGAAATAAATACAATTTTAAACGCTAATCTCAGTAAATACATTGGCTGCGATTTTAGATTGTCACGATAGTCAAAGTGCAAAGTCGAAACCCCCTTAGCGCATTGCTTAGTTATGCATGCATGCTAGGCAACATTAGGAAACAAGAGTTTCTCGACCGAGTATTTACACAATACCTTCTAATGTCAAGTTAATTGCCCCCCCCCTCCCCCACCCTGTTCTAATGGTAACTGAAAGCCACTTCACTAAACTTAAGAATATTTTCAAATGAACGGCTTTGTGTGCTATTCAAAATAGTCCATTGATTTGAATCATGTAATCAATCAACATATAGGGTAGAATACAAGGAAGATGGTATCCAAGACAATCACATCAAAAATGAAACTTTTAGATATTGTTTTTTTCCAGGAGCATTAATAATCTACCCTGGGGGTGGGTGGCAAAAATATTCTTCTAAGAGAGTATAGCAGACGTAATAAGTGACCAATTTTGCTATAAAAAAGGAAAGACCTTCACAATGATTGTTCAACTTATTTTTCTATTTGGCTTTTATAAATTTCTCGGTTTTTGTCGCAAAACTTGCAGTTATTGTGAAAATCCACAGAGCTGTTTCAATTACAATTCTAATATTATACACACAAGCATGTAAGTTGGTTCTTATAACTAGTATTAGAAAAAACATCAGAGGAATAAGGAAATGAAAAGAAAATTACAAATAGCCTACTGTGGAAATCTTTTAAAAACTTTTATTCGTGGCATTTAGTTGACCTGTTCACTAATTCTGGAGTGATTGTTTTATTTTGAGCAATAAATAGTCATTACAGAGTCCTCGTGTCCAGACCAGTATTTAAAGAACAAACTTAGTATCAGTGACGGCATAATCAAAGCCGGACGCAAAAAGTATCAATTTTGCGTTTTAAATCGCATATTCTGTTCTCTTGACACGGTTAAGGTACCTTAGATAATTTCGGAGGAGGGGGGGGGGCATTACTAGCAGGGAATTTTGCCACTGATTGTTGAGGTTACGCCATGTTTTATTCATGAGGAAATTTACTACAAAGTACACTGCTGAAATATGGGATTGCATATTTAATTATAGAAAGCATGAATGCTAGTATTTAACCATTGACTATGAATATGAAACTTTAAAACTTTACCATTCAAAAAAGTTCGCTTACGTATTATTTCAACCAAATGGGGAACTTGTAGGAGGAATAAAGACAAAAATTAACGTCAATGGAAATTTGTTTATCTTGTTTACCAGAAGATAAGAAGAACAAGCTTCAAAAGGTATTCATTTATCAAGTGTTAAAAAAGCATAAAGTGTTTAAGATATTTTTGATAGTTCGTTACCTTCCCGTCATAACGAGTCTAAATACAAAATAATTTAAACAATTTTATTTCATTCGTACTAAATATAATCACATTATTTTATGTGATTTTCAATAACTAAATATTAATAATTTAAATAATAAATACATATAATGCAACAAACTAATCAAATTTCAACTTTTGGTTACATCAAAGTATCTCAAGCATTTTCAATTTTGGAAAGCACTTCCCTACTCCATACTCTTCCAGTATACTCAACAACGTTCCTAATTTTAAGCCAAAATCAATTCCAGCTGGGGTATGACAACATTTATTCGTCTACTATTCCTGCTTAATTGCAAGAAACGGTGTATGCTCATTCTTCTAGGTCAATGGAATAGTAAAATTGGCAATGTCAAAAGCATTTGTCTTTGCAAATAAAGTTTTATGAATTTTCTCAGATTGCTCTCTATAACATGGTTTCTTATTTCTAGGGGAACGCTTCTAGATACGGTGCAAAATACGCATGAAACGATTCTTACTAAGCAATTTTTGATAAAGCAATGGATTATCGGAATCAAGTTCATTATTTAGAACTGCCTTGTTGGTATTAATAGAATAATTTATTTTTGCAACACAATATATGCAACATACATGATATTAAAAGTGGCGATATATGTCATGCTATTGTTATATTCTCAAAAGTTCAATGTCTCTGTAATAACAATTCATGAAAATAGAATCCAATATCTAGCACTTAATTCCCCTCAAGTTCTTTAAAGTCTTTGCTATGTTTAATTACTTTATTGATTGGACAGATAAATTATTCAATCAGTATAATGGTCTATTCGTGGCTTAAATAATGACAATAATATTGCCGAATCAACTCATACTAATTCTTCTATAGTCTTGAGTTAAAGTGCATTTAACTTCTGGCCTAAAATTATTTCGCGTTAATGTATTTATTTATATCAACTGGAAGGCATTTTGATGGTTTTCATTAGGTCTTTAGTCGACTTCAAGCTTCACGGAGGGGAGGAGGAACATCAAGTGAAAAAAGTCGAAAGAAAGGGGGACAGAAGAGGGTTTCAAAAACGAAGGTGGAAAAGGTAGAACAAAGTGAAGTGCGTACTGTGGAAGTAGTCGAATATGGCATACAGTGGGGTGATGGTAGTTTGAAGTCGGAAGTCAACTGCCGGTTAATAGACTTTTTTGTCGTATGAGTATACGTTGCCCAAGGTGCACCATTTTGAGGTAAGTCTATCGTTAATGTTAATTTAACCAAACGCCTAAAATGGCAGAAAAACAAAAGAAAACATCCGTTTCAGAAGTTTATTAAACGATTTGCTTTGTATTTGTAAATTTATCTGTGTCAAGAGGTTACTTATCATAAGGAAAATATTTGTTGATTAATTGATCACCGAAGAAATGTTGCTAANCTTCGTAATTAGTCAAAATAACGTTAAAGTCAAATGTCGCAAGATTTTTATGGTGCTCTGGCTATATTTATTTATTTATATCAAATGACAGGCATTTTGATAGTTTTATTAGCCCTTTAGGTGACTTCAGGCCTCACAGAGGAGAAGAAATATCAAAGTGAAAAAAAATCGAGAGGGGGGAGTAGAAAGTGTTTAAAAGGCGAGTTGAGTACTGTGGAAGTAGTCGAATATGACATACAGTGGGGTGATGATAGTTTGAAGTGAGAAGTCAACTGCCAGTTAATAGACTTTTTGCCGTATGAGTATACGTTGCCCAGGGTGCTCCACGTGGAGGTAAGTCTATCGCACACCCCGCTCTGGCTATATTCGTTTCTCCATTTTTTCAGTTGTTCTGCTTTTTCACCATAATTTTAATTTTTTACTATTTTTGTGTTTTTCAGTGCACACTTAAGCATATGTTTCATCTATATCGAAGAATATCTGATTATATGTTAGCATGACAGTGAAAGACAAAAAGATAGAGAGTAGTGGTCGATAATTCTATTTAAAGAGAATGGGTCATGGTAATCAATCGTCCTCACTTGTCTTCACTCACGCACCCGCTCATGCGATGTCAGGGTGGGGGCGGGGGTAATTTGCGATCAAAGTCGTTAGACTGCCCTCCAATGCTGTCTCAAAGGAATAATCTCAATAACAACGCCATTCACTACGATTGGTGTTCATTTCATCTAATTTAGCCAACAGCTAATCAATTCATTAGTTCATCTTTATACCTCTTTCTATCTTCATAGATCGCAAATTTAGATTCAAATTCAAAAAAAATTGAAACTTTATATGGTTCAACAATTATCAAATTAGTAACTTATATTTATGAGGCCGATCCGGGCTTACTTCCTTTCATTAACACTGATAGGCTATTGTTATACTTAACTTGTTGTTATTTGATCTAAAGTAAACACACTTTGCTATTTCATCATCCACAAATGAGGTAGCAAGTATGCGTATTATTGTAAAAATATTTTTTCTCAATCAACGTGAACCAACTTCACTTACTAATTCCTCAAAGCAACAACTCATCAACTCGCATTATTATTCTAAATGCCTCATCCCAAATTTGCCATTACCTTTACAACCTCAAGATTTATACTTTAGAGTATAATATTCTTAAAAAAATTCAATTGATAAGTTAAGTTTTGTAATGAGACAATGAGTACACAGATGAGACCTGTTGTTTTTTGGTACTGATGTTGGCTCAACAATTTGCACTTTTAAAATTGGCCTAGGTGCTTTTGTGCATTTCTCTTAAATGGTGGAGATCACTAAACAAGATAATTATATTTCTAAAGTACGACTTTTGATTAAACGCCTTATATGCGTTAATTTTGCTGCCCTTTTTATGCTTATTTACCACTCACTATACCTGCATCTCGTACTATAAACGTGAGCTAATTTTGACAATGAATCGAGTTCAAATTTAAGTGGCGAAAAAATTAGTAGTACTTAGCTGACGCATTAAACGCGCGCAGTTCAGAACTTTGTATCGGCAATAGGCAAGCATTGATCAACTCTCTCTCTATGGAAACCAAATTATAAAGATTTGTCATCTATGCCGGTTCTTATTGATGGCGTTGAAATTGCCGTGTATGTCATCTCAAATCCGAAAATTGAATGGCACTTTGATATATTTAAAGCGCACTCAGCAACATTTTGATTTTCTTTCCTTTTTTATTAATTGCAATTGATTTGACTCAATCCCATCCGCAGTCACAATCAAAATTTTTGTATGAATCAGAATTCTTGTCAGTTCCTTCAGACCCATTAACTGCATCGCACTAAATCTAAATACTGCAAAGGTCAGATGTAAGACTAGATTAGTGTGAAATCACCTTTATTTTGTATTTTTGTGTAGTACTTCTATTTACTAAATATTTATTTTATATCAAATGGCAGGTGTTTTGATAGTTATCATTAGCCCTTAGTTGACTTCAGGCTTCGCAGAGGGGAGGAACATCAAAGTAAGAAAAATTCGTGATGGAGAGCAGAAGCGAGATTCAAAGATGCAAAAGAGGTAGACAGACACAAAGGCAGGGAGAAAGAGAAATGAATACTGTGGAAGGAGTAGAATATAACATACAGTGGGGCCATTATAGTTTGAGGTCAGAAGTCAACTGCCGGTTTATAGAAATTTTTGCCGCTTGAGTATACGTTTTCCAGAGTGCACCATGTGGAGGTAAGTCTATCACATANCTAATTCTTCTATAGTCTTGAGTTAAAGTGCATTTAACTTCTGGCCTAAAATTATTTCGCGTTAATGTATTTATTTATATCAACTGGAAGGCATTTTGATGGTTTTCATTAGGTCTTTAGTCGACTTCAAGCTTCACGGAGGGGAGGAGGAACATCAAGTGAAAAAAGTCGAAAGAAAGGGGGACAGAAGAGGGTTTCAAAAACGAAGGTGGAAAAGGTAGAACAAAGTGAAGTGCGTACTGTGGAAGTAGTCGAATATGGCATACAGTGGGGTGATGGTAGTTTGAAGTCGGAAGTCAACTGCCGGTTAATAGACTTTTTTGTCGTATGAGTATACGTTGCCCAAGGTGCACCATTTTGAGGTAAGTCTATCGTTAATGTTAATTTAACCAAACGCCTAAAATGGCAGAAAAACAAAAGAAAACATCCGTTTCAGAAGTTTATTAAACGATTTGCTTTGTATTTGTAAATTTATCTGTGTCAAGAGGTTACTTATCATAAGGAAAATATTTGTTGATTAATTGATCACCGAAGAAATGTTGCTAAATGAGCCTGTTCGTCAAAATTATTCCAGAGCTTGATTATTTTAAAGTAAATTGGCTAGTACATTTTGAATATATTTAACAATAGGAACTAGTCTTAGTGTTACCATTTCCACTTCACAAATGAGATGATTCCAATCGAGAATAATAATAAAACACCCGAAGAAATCTGTGTTCCGATATACTACGGATTAATTCTGGATTTCATACTTGTAGATGAAATCGAAACAGTATTATACGTAAAGTTTAAAAATATCATAGAACTTGTTGATTTTACTTTATATACAGCTGGTTATATATGGAAATACTTAGAACGGCCATCTTAAACACATATAACTCATAAAATGACACTATATGGATAGACTATTTGTTAATAACTATGATTAATGAAATATTTGGTAGCATCTTAGAGCTATAAATCGAGTAGGCAGGATTACCATCTATTTATTCATTTATTCTGTTTTTTCATCATTGTACATAAGTTACTAATTTCGATGGCAAAAATATATATCAAGACTTCCTTCGAAATACTCATAATTTCGTCAATAATTATACTCCTAATAAATAATATTTTATAACGATGTTGAAAAGTTGCAACACTTATGGAAATAAAATTATGCTTAAATTCATGCCTAAAACAATAAATCTCCAATGTCATGTTTAATTTTGCTTTTTATATCTGTAGATATATTTTAATATTATTTTTTGCCACTTCTTCGAACAGCTTTGAATATATATTAATTACAATTCATCGATATATTTTTTTCTTACATTAAGATATTAAATCACAGGTCATAGTAAATATTGTTCAATTTATTACCTCGTACATACTAATTGGTTTGTTGATTTTCATGTGTTTACCTAGACCATCGTTGCAAAAATTTGAGCTTAAATCTTGCTTCTCATTCTTCCGATGGCGTCGCGACAGGCTTTTGAGGAAGTTGCTCAAGCGACTGACGAAGTTCTAGGTAAAATCGAAAAAAAGCCTGTTGCTCAACAAATTCTAATTGGAGCTGCTTCTGGATTGTAGGTTACTGTGCCCCGTTTACACGGTATTTAGGTTGACGGGCTATGTTCTGTCGAAAATCGGCAAGAGTGTTGCTTTTTGTATTGGTGTCACTGCAGTTGGTGCACAGGTATGTTTTAGAAACCACCGAATATTTATTAAATTATTTTCTAATCGTTGTTATTTTCTTGTAGTTTTTTGTGAACCGAAGAAAGTCTAAAACGGATTGGAAACAAGTTGAATCCGATGCTCGTGAAGCTCTTAATCGAGTTCTACCTACGAATAAGCGGGTTCGTTGAATACTATTTTAATTGGATTCTTAAAAGCGATCAAACTCTTAAAGATCCATATTCCAATCTTCTAAATCTCGTTTAAATTTTTAGGATTACGCTATTCGTCAAAAGGTAAGAAATCTGGTTAGAATAATTTGTTTTTCAAGGAAAGTTGCTTCATGTATTTGCTCTATCGCTCAAATCTGGTTTATAATTTTCCAATATCTTCTATAAATTTGAATTTGTGAAGCCTGGCTGTTATTTTCTCCCTAATTTTTAGGTTGGAGCTATTTTAAAAGAAAATCAAATTTTTTTCGGTTCCTTTGGAGGAGGATTTCTCATCGGTGTTTCTTTTGCGTAATGTTTTTTATGATCATTATTTTCCGCACTTCCCAACATTCTCACATAACTTCTCATGGCGCCCCTTTCTACTTAGTCCCCATTATCTATGCTATTTCCGTCCTCTGCGTAATTAATGTATCTAGTGATATCCAACTTTCTGTATGCTCTTTCGTTTTATTGAAATTTGGAGTTACTAAACGATACACTTTATTTCTATAGATCTGCAGTGAAATTGTCTCTCCGCGGCCCTTAGTTTTGCAGTCGTTTTTTTAAGGCGTGATTTCGCTTCTTGTCTCTTTATCTATCTTTTGGTGAAATTTAAAGGGCAAATACTTTTGAACGATTAAGGGCTTCTATTTTCTCTCTACGGCCTATTTATATTTCAGTACAGGCCCCAACAGAGCGGTGCTTACAGATTATGACTATCATATTCACCCAAATAGGTTCTGAGTGTATAATTTATTTAATGACACCAGGTGACTCGGGTATGGGGTCTCGGAGAGTAAAATGAGTCTGAACAATGCTTTTTATGGCAATAGATAAAGCGATGTGTGATGGATGAGAACTCGTTTCAAATGGTAGGCCTTATAAGTTATAATTAGCCACTAGCTCCGGCGGGGTGTATGCTGTGAAGTGGTCGAACGAGGTGTTTTGAAGTCAGAAGTCGGCTGAAGGTTCATGGGGTTATGTGTGAGCAAACGCCGTCAAGGGTGCATCACGTGAAGGTAGGTCTATCGCACTTCTCATAAATGAGAATTAAGGTCTCAAGAATTGAAGGATGTGGAATAATGCGGAAGAATTATTTTCGGGATTGAACTAAGGATTCCTATTGCGTACTGCTGTTCGGGTTAAGGTGCAAATGAGGTCGTGAATGAAGACAACTCAGTTAATCAGTGATAATAAGCGCAACCACAATTGGTTCATCCCCTTTGTAAGTAGTGTTCTCGATATTGAGGAAGTGCGCGATAGACTTACCTCCACGTGGTACACCCTGCACAACGTATATTCATACGGCAAAATGTCTATCACTCGGCATTTGGACTTCTGTTTATTATGATTAGCTTGAAACAAAGCCATACGAGAAATTGCTCTCTCCAGGCGAATCACAACGTCAACAGATCCTTACGTGGAATGCTGAAGGGATGTCACAGGGCAAAAAGATCCAAGTCCATAAAATCCTACAAACCTATAATGTAGACATTTTCACAATTACGGAAACAAAGCTTTCGGTTGACAAAGTGAAATTCTACCAATTCCCAGGTTACACCTTATACCTTCTGCCTAAATACCGGTAAGTTGCAAGTGGAATTCTGACCGGAGTAAAAGAAGGCCTCACATCACATTACGATCTAATCAAGAGTATGGGCTCGATGCAAGACATTTGCAAAACAATCAGATTAAATGTTTGGAAATGCCAAAACCACTTCAAGATTTACCCAGTCTATAATCCACCCCAGAATAGTCCAACTTTGATTCTCTGAACATC